TGATGTAATACAAACCTGCGCATGCAGCCGAGGCAAACCAAGATGGCGGACCGTGAATTGCTTTAAAAGTTATAATACGAACAAATTAAGACACGAAAGTCACTTTTAATGCAATTTGAGGCGAGATGTTGATGGTTCCGTGTTGTCACGTGTGGGTTTTAAGAGTCAAAGTTTTGTGTAAAGTTTAGTTTAAGCAGTTTAAGCATTCAACTGCCCCTGTGAAACCACATTGCTGCTGTGTGATAGCAGTCCGTGGCTGCTGACGTAGGCTGATGACGCGTCCTGTGGCAACTCTACAGCTTACAACTGGTCTGTTGGGTTGATATGGAAAATGGGGAAAAACTCGATCTAATTAAATATTTTGTTTGAACACACTATTATTAATCATATTGAATACAGTACTATACATCCATGAAATTAAATTATTTATTGTCAGTTGTAAGTTGTAGAGTGGCCACAGGACGCGTCATCAGCCTACGTCAGCAGCTGCAGACTGCTATCGCACAGCAGCAGTGTGGTTTCACAGGCGCAGTTGACTGCTTAAACTAAACTTTACACAAAATTTTGACGGAACCATCAACATCTCGCCTCAAATTGCATTAAAAGTGATGTTCATGTCTTAATTCGTTTGTATTATAACTTTTAAGGCTATTCACGGACCGCCATCTTGGTTTGCTTCGGCTGCCGTGAGAAGCGCATGCGCAGGTTTGCATTACATCATTAACAGCTGAGTGGCACAACTCGACAGAGCACCGGCAAGTTATTGCATATAAAATAAATTACACAAACGAAGAAAGCCACAAAGTCATGAAGACCAAACACGTACATATCTTGAGTAATTACACTTCCAAAGCTAAAAGCCGTCAAAATGACTGCTCTGGGAGTTCTTGTGTGAGTAGTCCAGTAAGTACCGTATATCCCAGGATTTGGAAGCATTTACCTTCTATCATCTGCTCAAACGTTTAACATATTTTTTGGTTGTTCCTCAAAGCTGCTTCTGTTGACAAGTAAATAAACAAAGACAGAACGAACAAATCCACAAGAATTCAAATGAAATATGTCCAGTCGTCCATTAAAATGTGTTTTTTCTGTCTCTCCTGTCGCCAGTTTGTCCACTCTCTCCTCCTCTCTGTCACTCAGCGTCTCTTAAAGGCTGTGTAGCCGGTTGGAGCACCATGTTGAATGACAATGAGTTAAAGGGGGAAATGCATATTGAGGGCACAGTGAAGTTAGGCAATTAAATTAAAAAGTTATTAACTTTGGAATGAGGGACACCCAACACTTTGCCTGCAGCCAGACGTTTTTGAAGTTCAGGAAAGATACACGCTGGAGGAGGATGAATGAAAGTCGGAAATATGGGAGAAAAAGGGGTAATAAGACCGACACAAGGTCATTTCAGAATGTGGCGGGGAGGAAGTTACTATACAAGCCTATGTTGCTTAATCATCCTGCATTTATGTCTTAATATGAATGGGCTAATTACCATTCTCGTCACCGGGCTTTATTTCATAGTCAGCATCACTGCAGCATTGTGAGTTCTCTTTCCATGAATGTGTGATTCAAAGTTAATTAAGCTTTTGCTGCGGTTTGCACAAATAATAAGTAATGTAGAGACTGTTAATTAACCTTAAGAAACCATGTGTCTTCAGTAAAGCGATATTTGCAAAGTCTATGTTTGCTCTTTTTGACACAATCTTCAAGAGTTCTTCAAGCAAAACTAATAACACGTTTGCGTACGCTCTTCTGGGTGATGAATGAAAACGAGGTTGTGTTGTGTTGTGTGTGCTCTGTGCAGAAAGAGGGAAGAGACAATAAAAAATAGAGACGTTCAAAGTGTTTGGCTCTTTAGTTACACATTTTTGGTCGTTACTATTCTTGTTTATTTTAATTAGGTGACCTTTATTTAACCAGAAATGTACCACTGAGTTTTCAGAATATCTTTTTAATGGGAGTCCTGACGGTGGGATGGGAGTAATGGAGGCTATTACCCCCAAAGGAATCCTGCACAGACACAGGGAGAATATGCAAACTACGCTCAGAAAAAGACACTGTATAAAGTGTTGATAAATGAGTAAAACATTTCTCAAATTTAGCAAAGTGTGTCTTAGAAGTATACAGGAGGATTTCCCCAAATTTTAGGAAAGGACCGCCCTCTTTTGAAATAAACTCTCTGGTCTTATTTGAATAATTGACAATTGGGAGGACCAATAGTCTTGATGATCCACCCGGAAGTAGAAAATTCTCAAAACACTTTCTCCAAATTTGAGCACATTATGACTGCCTAACAACAAGATTTGCCAATGGGACGAGCAAAATGATCTTGTTTTAAAAAGATACAAGAGTTCCTGAAAAAGGACTAAATGGCTTTGTCCCTTTGGCGAAACTTGTTTTAACAGAATGTACTCAAATTAAGAGAAAAACACTCCATTATTGCCTCATAATTTATCATTTAATTTACGCTGGCAATATTTAAATCCAGGTTTATGCATACAACTGAAGGATTTTAGCTTCACTCTATTGATCCCCGTAGGGCAATTCAATCCTCTGCATTTGACCCATCCTGATGCCGCTAAGGCTTACGTCAGGAGCAGTGGTCGCCGTAGTAACAGCGCCCGCGAACCGATCTCCAAATGTTGATGCTCGGCTTGGTCAGGACCAGAGCTGGAGGATTTAACCTAGTGAGCATGTTTTTAGTGGTAGGGGAAACCGGAGTACCCGGAGGAAACCTACGCAAGCTAAAATGCAAACTCCCCTCAGAAAGACCCTGTTCCGACTGGGATTGGAACTTGGGACCTTCTTGCTGAGAGGCGAGAGTGCTATCCACTCAGCCACTGTGCCGCCCACTTTTGAATGAGCTGTGATTATTTATGATTTAAATGCATGTTTTGTAAAGTTGCCTTGCTTTTGAACTATGCTACACAAATGAACTTCTCTTGCCTACCCCCTAATCCGAGGCAGATCACTGGAGTTTAAAATCAATAACGAGTCACTTTCTTTAAGGACACATCAAAGTTCCATCAGCCTTGTCGGGATATAGTTGTGTGCCGTGTCCAGGTGCTGCAAAGCCAAGCATAGCATCAACATTAGTTTTCTTTGGCTAGTGCAGTGCCTCGAGGTCACCCGCCACTGTCCAGAACCCCATTAGCCGACAGAGCTGTGTCAAGCCAGGACAAAGTCGATAAGGAAGTACCGTAACAATGGCAAGGCGGCCAACTGCACTCAATTTTGCAGCAGTGTATTTACGCTTACAACCACGCAGCAGTTCTATAAAACCTCAATAGGAACTGTCTGCGATTGTGAAAGAAGACTTAAGTTCAGAGTCGGTGCTGGGCTGGGCTGCCTGAAGGGAAAAAATGAACAATACAAGTGAATGAAGGATGGTCGTTTGAGGTAAGATAAAGCAGGAAATACAGTAGTTGTGTTTTAATCAAAGAGGTTTGACTCTGCCAGAAAGACTGATGTAATGAGTACTAAGCAGTAGGTATGTGGAGCGGAGAAATGCAGTTGAAGTGAGGAGAAACATGTGTGAGACATTAACATCAGATGTTCAGGCGAGAGGCTCTGACCTCGACCAGTCAAAGTGCCCTGCAGCCGGTGCCTCACAAGTTCTGCTACAACACTTTCAAAGACTGGAGAACAAAAGCTCCAACATGTTTTTATAGCAAGCATGTTCAAACTAAGGGCCAAAGACAAATTGCGGCCCTCAGTCTATTGATCGATCGACCGACCGACCGACCTTTCTACCTGTCTGTCTGTTTAGCTACCTACGTACCTACCTACCAACCAACCAACCTACCTACCTTTCTACCTATCTATCTATCTATCTTTTGAGCTAGCGGGTTAGCATTGTCCATCTGTATATAGTCTCTTGCCCAGTCTATGGCTCTTTCATTGCAGAGTGAAATGTTAAAAAGTCTGTTAACTGGACCAAATCAGGTTCACTTGGAAAAAGACATCTGCGTAGGTTTCCTCCGGGTTCTCCGGTTTCCCCTACCACTAAAAATATGTACAATAGGTCTGGCATGCGCCTCCTGTTCGGCGACCCCGCTCCCATCTCTGTGTGGAGTGAGAGGACAAGTGCCCAAAAAATAACAATTGTAAACCGCTTTGTGACTCTGGTCTGTGAAAGGCGGTATATAAATAAAGCTTACTTACTTAATACATCTGCAAAGATTTGGTTCAAAAGTTAAGTTACAAGTGGTTACATGTTTAGCTTACTCAACCAAACCCTCAAGTCTGAACATGCCACGAGAAGCAGCCTCAGATTTGCATTCTGTAATATGTTGTATTTCTATATCTTTTTCTTTTCACACATCTCCTTCCTCTGCTGCTGTGTGATGTCATTGGGTGAATATGCTTTTGTTAGTTAATTAGGTTTAAAATATACTACATATACATATTATGTAATTTGAATAACTAAAAAGTATTTCTCTCATCAGTAAATCTTGAACAGTTTGGTTGTTGGCGATGGCTAATTTTCCAGTTTCGCATGTTTAAAAGCTGCGGATACTTTTTGTTACTGCTGTAAATGGGACACTGTCTGCTGCCGTCTTTTCTCTTTGCTTTTCCCACATCAAAGTGCGCTCTGGGAAGCGGCTTCTCTTCTGGCCTGCCTCAGACATCACTCATACTCCCACAATCTATTTGTTTTAATGCCTTTTTCATTTCTCCTCCATTCTACCTGGCCTCACTTTCATCTTCTGGTGTACTTCCTGCGTTCTTTTTCCTACAACGCTTTTCTCTTTTGCCTCGTGAAGCCTCATCCTTACATTTGATGTTCATAACTGACAATATGAAAATCTGTGTTGGTTTTTGTTCTCATGTTTGTCCACCGACTGATATAAATACAAATAAAAATGTACATAACAGCCTCAGGATTTGTTCCATATATTCCTGCGAGACTAAAGACTTTTTTCAAGCAAAGCCCAACTTTAAGGTTTTCAAAAGTCATTTGGGACACAATTTTCAGCCTCATCTTGTCTCTTTTTGTTTCTTTACAGGATTGGGTGACTGCCACAGATCTGCTCATCTCTCTGGACAGACTCAACACTTTTGGAGATGAGTTCTTCAAGGACGCCAAAGTATTGCGCTCGTATTACTATGCCATCTCAGACTTTTCAGTGGGTGGAAGGTAAGAGCCAAGAGTTGAACGCCAAAAACAAGTTGCTCTTGTAATTTGGTAACACTTCATGATAGCTAGACATTGAATAACGTTTAAAACTCGTCATAGTCATGATGAGTTCATGAATTAACTCTTGTGAATTATTAGCGAAAAATTGATGAGTCCATGAGGATTTAATGATTTCATTTCTAAAGTGTTACCAACATCTTTATCTTCACACTAACATCTAAGCTCCCTTTCTGTGTTTGAGTATAGTGCACTATATAATCCTCAGCCATTCTTTCAGATTGAAATAGCTAATAATAATGACAATTATGACCCGCAAATATACTTTTAGTCTGAAGACAGCCGGAGTGCATTTTAAGTTTGCTTTCTCATTCTTCCCATGTGTCCACCAACTGACACCAAAATTGAAAGATAATCTTGCATCTTGTAGAGTTCTTGGGCTTTATTACTCACAGTAATGAGATAGGACATGGCGCCAAGGACCAGGCTGCACTTTACCACTGCGAAATAAGTTCATGATTAACTAGTGGAGATGAAGCCTTCAGGAGGAGTATAAACTTGATCTGACACCTGTCATAAACACTTAAGATCAGCACAGCAGCAAGACAAATTACCAGCCAGTGTCACAACACCTGAGGGAGCCACTTCCCATGACAACACGTTAGCCGTGTAGCGTAGCTTTCTGAGCAAATACTTTACACCTCAGCAAGTCACTCAATTCTGAAAGGATCCCAGAGGATCCTCTGCCATTTTACATACACTGTTCTGTTCAAAAGTGGAGCAAAAGAAAACACTGTGTCACCTTCTCCAAGTGCTTCAGTTAGAAGATAAATCCAAATGGAAAGTAAGAAAATATTTTTGGTCCTAAACATTTAATCAAGAGGTCATTAGCAAATGAAGATGAATGAGGAAAAGATTGCACTTATTGAGAAAGTCTATTTTAATGATAACAGATTATAACACCTTCCCATTCCTAACCATCGGAGCAAACCTGGTGTCACAGTCAGTCCCCATCTCCTTTTCTCCTTTTGCCCACTTACTTAAAGACATGTGTTTTCTGAGAAAGTCCTCTGTCTCTGGAACCCCTCAGATGTAAGTGTAACGGCCATGCCAGCGAGTGTTTGGAGGGCGACAGTGGAGAGTTGGTGTGCGCCTGCCAGCATCACACAGAGGGAGCCGACTGCCAGAGATGTCACCCCTTCTACCAGGACAGGCCCTGGGCTCGGGCCACCGGGGACTCGGCCAATGAGTGCTTGAGTGAGTGCTGCTTCTGGGACACTGTCACACATCAGCTCTGTTAAATCCCCACAGCTCTGTGAAATTCAACTGACAACGTCTGATGGCCTTGAACCAGGAAGCCTTATGCCTAGAAAGCCATGGATATATTTATATGTATTATGTTTTGTCATATGCAAAAACAGATGGACCAATACGTTCTATGTCAATGATATATATAAGCAGTTGTTTGCGTATTAGGCCTTTATGTGTGGAGTTTGCATGTTCTCCCTGTGCCTACATAGGTTTCCTCCAGGTGCTCCGGTTTCCCCTACCACTAAAAACATGTAGAATAGGTCTGAATGTAAAGAGTGAGTGAATAGATAGTGTTGGTTGGGGCTTTGAATGGAATGGAACAATATCTGAACTCTGAACATTGCAAAGCGCTTTGGGTGACCTTGGTCTGTAAAAATGCGTTATATAAAAATAGATTACTTCCTTACTCACCCCAAGATGACCCTGTTTTAAAGGCCCATGCTCTGAAGAGTTTGCATGTTCTGCCCCTTTCGATCTCTGATTCTTTCGGGTGCTTCAGTTTCTCCAACCCCTAAAAATATATGAAATAGGCCCAGAGATTCTACTGAAAATGTGTTTCAGAGTAAATAATAATAAATACTGCCAATGCCATGATTATGTCTTATGAGGAATGCATCACAACATGGGAAATAATTACCATGGTTTAGTCATACAACCACATGTCTCATTTTTTTGTTTTTTTTAATAGCAGAAAAAGAGAAGGGGGAGGAAAGTTAGTCGGCAGTAAACACAGATGACTCAAAAGATATGTCACATTTGTAATAACTACTTTCTAAGATCAGTTTCCATTTGTATTTTTCTCAAGAGATCCAAATCTATGACACGATGCTTGTGATTCAGAACAATTCAGATCTGTGAATTTGATTGGATTTTGTTCATGTCTTTTTCAACTATAAAGTATTGATGAGAGTTTTGTAGCACGCACCCTTCACAAAAAAGAGACACATTTAGGCAGAGGGATGTCGGTGGATAAAAACCCCATTGCGCATCAACTACCAGAGGATCAACACAGAACCACAACCTGTAATTTAGACACTTCCATGAATCTGCATTGTTTGAAGCCATCTTTTCCCCAATGATCTCATGAAACAAAGACCTGGAAAACATGGCTGTGTGTGTGTGTGTGTGTCAGTCTGTGTGTCTGTCTGTGTTTGTGTCTGTCTGTGTCTATCTGCGTTTGTATCTGTCTGTCTGTCTGTGTCTGTCTGTCAGTGTTTGTGTCTGTGTCTGTCTGTGTTTGTATCTGTCTGTCTGTGTGTCTGTGTTTGTATCTGTCTGTCTGTCTGTGTGTCTGTCAGTGTTTGTGTCTGTGTCTGTCTGTGTCTATCTGTGTTTGTATCTGTCTGTCTGTCTGTCTGTGTTTGTGTCTGTCTGTCTGTGTGTCTGTCTGTGTTTGTATCTGTCTTTCTGTCTGTCTGTGTCTGTCTATGTTTGTGTCTGTCTGTCTGTGTTTGTGTCTGTCTATGTTTGTGTCTGTCTGTCTGTGTTTGTGTCTGTCTGTGTGTCTGTCTGTGTTTGTATCTGTCTTTCTGTCTGTCTGTGTGTCTGTCTTTCTGTCTGTCTGTGTCTGTCTATGTTTGTGTCTGTCTGTCTGTGTTTGTGTCTGTCTATGTGTCTGTCTGTGTTTGTGTCTGTCTGTGTGTCTGTCTGTGTTTGTATCTGTCTTTCTGTCTGTCTGTGTTTGTATTTGTCTTTCTGTCTGTCTGTGTGTCTGTCTGTGTTTGTATCTGTCTTTCTGTCTGTCTGTGTCTGTCTATGTTTGTGTCTGTCTGTCTATGTTTGTGTCTGTCTGTTTGTGTTTGTGTCTGTCTGTCTGTGTTTGTGTCTGTCTGTCTGTGTTTGTGTCTGTCTGTCTGTGTTTGTGTCTGTCTGTCTGTGTCTGTCTGTGTGTCTGTGTTTGTGTCTGTCTATCTGTGCGTATGTGTGTGTCTGTAGGTGCGTGTGTCTGTCTCTGTGTGTGTGTGCTTTTCAGTGCGTAGGTGTGTGTGTTTGTGTAGGTGTGTGAGTGTGTCTATGTGTGTGTGTGTAGCTGTGTGTATGTGTCTGTCTGTCTGTGTATGTTTGAGTGTGTGTGTGTGTGTGTGTGTGTGTGTGTGTGTAGATAAGAGTGTGTACTTGTGTATTTAGGTGTGAGTGTGCGTCTGTCTATGTGTGTGTCTGTCTGTGTGTACCTGTGTTTACAATGCACAATTCTCCTAATCCCTACAGTACTTGACCATTACTATACTGACCAGAATACCACTTTAAAACTCTCTACTTCTTGCATTTAGGGACTAATACAACTTTAAATTGGTTAGCCATGCTTCAAAGTTCATTCATTCATTGTGATTAGCCCTGCTTCTCTGTAATCAATTCCTTGTTTTTCGCCGTGCTTCTAAATTCCGCATTTTTTCACGGTCTGTGTGTGTTTACCGATTGTGCGAGGCTAAACGCTGACACTATACACTCTTTTGAGAAGCACGGGAGAATGAAAGATACACATTTTACATGGCAACCCTTATTACCGAGTCTGTTTATAGTCTTTTTATCAAACCAGAACCTGTGTATCTGACGCGTGACCTTTTGGAAGCTTACAAAACCACAGAAGCAAACAAAAAATACCAATGAGTGTCTGCGCGCGGTTAGCAGTGGCATATAAAACTATTTTGCCATCATCTCATAATGTCACGATACAATGATTGCATATAATTGAATATTTACTTTGCTAGTGAAATGCCGTTGACGGATTTCTTGAGGCTTTTGCATGCCGATGAGAGAAATCTCCTTCAAACTATTCACATCGGAGATCAAGGCAAGGGCGGTTTTATTTGTATTGCACCGTTCATACACAAGGCAATTCAATGTGCTGAACAATACCATACAATGTGCTTGTATGGTATTATGGAAAATACCATACAAGGCAATACACATCACCTGGATACAATCATTTCTGTTTTTATGATGAAATTAATCTATATTTCATTGACTTCATTGACTTGTTTCAATATGAAATTATTATTTATTTGATTGAGTTGGTTGACTTTAAAAAAATATAAATAATTATTGTTTGATGCATCTTGATCTGTGTTTTTAAATTGCTCTTGTGAAGCCTTTTCAATCCCCTTGAACACAAATTGTGCAATACAAATACATGATTGATTTGATTGATTTGAACATTGTCAGAGTAGATTTCAATTAAATGCATTTTTGTACAGCCCTAAATCACAACAGCATTAATCTGGGAGGACATACAGATCCGAAATTAAATGATGACAAATACATAGCAGACATTGGTCCATAAGACGCAGATGACTCATGTCCATAAATGTCCTTGTATGTCCTTAAAAGTTAGGAACAACTCAAAAGCAGAGTGGGGAAAACAGTGAGAAACCTAGAGGAGGCCCACACTGAGAAAGGGATCCGCTCGATCTGAAGCCTGTCAAACTTCCAGGAAGAGATTTTAGCGAGATAACTCCGGAATGCTGCCTGCCCATGTTTAGTCCTGACTCTGCGCACCGTATCAGATCACATTAGTGTCGATGTGAAAGCTTGCCGCAGGTCTTTTCTGATTTAAGACTGATTTAAGTCTGAAGACAAATAATTAGCCAATGGTTAAAACTGTTGTGTATTTCTTTATAATAATTTGACATAAAGTGCAATCGGTGCAATTTCAGGCTAAGCTTCAAAACGCGGTGAAACGTGAAGTGATTTACAGTTCGTTTGATTGAGTGACTGCTGATTAGTGTCTGTGTGTGTGTCTGTGTGTGTAGAGATGTGTGTGTGTATGTGTGTAGGTGTTTGTATGTGTCCGTGTGTGTGTTCGTGTCTCTCTGTGTATTTAGGTTTGACTGTGTGTCTGTCTGTCTGTCTGTGTGTGTAGGTCTGAGTGTGTGTGTCTGTGTGTGTGTGCAGGTGTGAGCGTGTACATATGTAGGTGTGTGTGTATATATCTTAAATCAGTGGTTGTGTACGGGTAAAACTGCTGTGTGTATTTCTTTATAATAGTTTGACATAAAGTGCAATCGGTGCAATTTCAGGCTAAGCTCCAAAACTCAGGTAAACGTAAAATGATCTATAGTTCGTTTGATTGAGTGACAGGTGATTAGCCGCCTCCTTTTCCAAAATGAAAATTGGCAACTGTCAGTTCACTCACTCTTTATTTAATTCGCTGCTTCATCAGTGAAAATGAAGTATATGTCCATTCCAGGCAGAAGTATTTTGGGCACGTGTGAAAGCAAGTTTATACATATAGCACAGGGCTTACACAAGACAATTCCAAGTGCTTAAAAAAACAAGAAAAGATACATTGAAATAACACAAGGCATTTAATTCATAAATAATCACAATTCGTCAAAACAATTGGAGATACAATCCTTCAGTTGTTACGCACACAGCTACACATAAACACAACTATAAGTATAGATTAGAACAGTTACAATACGGCCACAGTTGCCCTGGAGCAGAATTATGGCAGCCATTCTTTCACTTTGACTCCTGATTTTTCAGCAGTTCAATAGTGACTAAATTTTACATATTGAGAATTTCAAAGGTTGTCACTTCTGCAACTCAAGAAGTCACAATATTTTGCTTTCAACTCCAACCAAAGAAATGCATTTTGTTTTTTAATCTATTTTTTCTTTCTCTGGCCAATATTTAGTTTGATTGTGTGACTGAGAAGGCCATGAGATCTTGCAGTTATTTACTAATTACACTTTTTTTGTATCACCCAAAATCACAACAGCAGTGTCACAGAAATTAATTTTTAACACACGGAAATACAATTAAATTAACAATATGACTTTGATATTTTACACTTGGATTTGCCTGTGTATGTTCTAGATTAAGAGCCTCTTTTCGTCCCACACTGGGGAAATTTCAGTGTTGCATCACCAGTTACAGAACAGAATGAGGAGCAACACAACACAAGAGAAACTAACAATAGCTCAATTCTAAAATAATATAAAAAT